CCAACTTACTAGTAATTCTGTGGCAAATATTTCTCTTTTAATGAAAAATAATAAATAAATTAAGCGGTTAATAACTTAATTCATTCATTTTTAAAAATTGACAATTTCAATTTTTTCAATTATTCCTATAATTTTATTGCAGACGTTTAAAGAAAAAAATAGTATATTTTATTAGGAGAAAAGTGACTTTGTGGCTCGTCTGTATTTGCTGACCTCCCTTCGATCGGCAGTCAAACTTACAGACTCGCCACAAAAGTTCCAGGGTTGCTCCTTTTAAAATAATATACTTACTTCTACTATTATTTTCGAGATGACAAAACAATAAAAAAGAAAACTTGACTCATAAACATAGTAATTATTTCCTGTTTCTGTTATAAAAATGCCAAAATTTTTAATAAGTTTGATGTTAAGTTATGTGGAAATATTCTGTTTACTAATAAAAATACATATCACTGGGGTGAACTGAAACTGAAATGTGGCCAGGAATTGTCCATAAAATCTAGAACTTACGGTGTATTGTGAATAGAATAGAACATTCTGAAATACACTGCTAGATGTAAGGTAATAAAACCATGGTGGTTCAAGATTGTCTACGAAATAATGAAATTACGATAGGTTATACAGTTCGTAACATAAAACGATCTTGCTTGACTTACCACATTTGTACTGTATTTTAAAAATTAAATTAACGTGAACTAATTTAAGAAATGATTGAATTTATACTATAAAAATAAATTGTTTTATGGAAAGACAATCAAAATTTAGAAAGAAACGTACAGGTGGAACGTTAAATTAACAATAAGAGAGTTCACAAAAATGCTTGATTAAAACACTCATGTGCTGGTAGCTTTTCTGCATTTAAAGTAAGCGTTGTAATCAAAATCTTGCACAAAACTTACAAATTACAAATAAATGATTTTAACTGCAACGTACTAAAATTAATATATAAATCAACTAACTTATCGATCCACTCGATAAACACAGATGAAATTACTAAACTACATGTTCGAAGCTATCTTACAAATTTATTTTCAGAATTTTTCTCGTTTTTCACGTTTTGTTAATATCGAGACAGAATGATACTGTGCAGTAAATTTAATAAAAGCTATAATGAGGTCACAATTAGATTGCTGTGTTTCATTTGTGCGATTAACTGATTATAATTATAATTATAGTTAATAGAAAAGGCATGACAAGTCTTGAAAATTTCCAACACAATATATATAGATATAGTTACACTAGACATCACGAACACCATCTAAACTGCAACAAGCCGGTCAAAAAGTAATCAAGGTAAGATTTCGGTAAATACTCATAACTGAAACCATAAAGAAATAAACCTTAAGTACCTATTTAAGATTTATTAAAAGAACGTGATGACTATATTTTTCAGACTATTGGATAATAAAATATTCATTATTACATATCATTAAACAGAGTTCATAAGGCAGCGAATAAAGGGAATATTTTTATTTTATCGCCAATACTACTACCAATTCAAACCATCAGTCTTTTGATATAATATAAATAAGTAATGATATAAAACAATTACAGATAAAATAACCCAAACCAGGAATTTTTAAGAAGTTCACAACTGAACAGTGGACACAGTCTTCTGACAAGAAAGTGTAGTTTTTTTTCATTTACTTAGAGCTTATTTATTTAAAACGACACAAAAATGTATTCTAGTTCCACGGATTCTAACTTTTGACATCAAAACAAGTCATCGACCAGATAATATGGCTGTACAGTAATTTGTAACCGTGTTAGCCGAGTCGTTGTGTAATCTACTCAATTTAATTATTAAGTGTGCAATTTTTCCTGGTGTCTGGAAAGAGTTAGTCCTGTATATAAGTCTGGTTTTTAAGTAGCAGACATCAGTATGTAGATATGTCGTGGATATCAGTCAAGACATAAACATAGAAAATTACAAAAAGTTCCTTTTTAAAAACAACATCCGACTGCTACAAACCGAAGAAGATTAATAATTAGTTAATAACATTTTTCATTTTGAAGGTAGCCCTGATTATGGAAGTTATTGTCGTTCCATTGAACTTTATCTAATGAAAACAAATCATGTTCATGACCATCAAACAGCGTTTCTTGTTGACATTCCGGCCACAAAAAATAACGTAACAAGCCAGTTTTCAACTACTGATTCATTTTATGATATTGATAAAAAGTACATTTCGTAACGGCCATCAATAACTAGAAATTCATTCTTTGTAAATTTCCTAAAAGGCAAATACACGGTACAAATAATTGGAATTAATAAACTTAGTTCGTTTGGCAAAATAGTAGCCACTTATTTAAATTTACTAAATCCTGAAAAATATACGGGCCACTGGCTGCGAAGATCTTCAGCTACAATATTTACCCTTGGAGAAGCAAATATCATGGCTTTAAAAATGCATGGGGGATGAAAATCCAGCGGTGTGGCTAAAACCTGTGTTGACAGGTCATTAATAAATAAAATAAATGCCGCTACAAAATTCTACATCAATTAGAACCAGTTTGTACTTCGGGTAAAACGCGATCGGAAGAATGAAGACCTAATTCCAAAGCCGGAATATCAAATGTTTCAGATTTAAAATTGAATAGTAAAGTTAATATTGCATCTCCCCCTAGCATCAACTGTAACGTGACAATCAATTTTGGAACAAATACATTTTTTATTCAGTCGTAGATAAAATAGTGTATTTTACTCGCATGTAATGGGCTTACACTCGGAGGAATTCCACTTCTCTCTTCATCCTCGTGTAATAATAGCCTTGATTACTTGATTGTTAAAGAATATACTATTAATATTTCTGATTGTAGGAAAAAATTACTAGTTATTTGTGCCGCACATTAAACGTCAGACACTTTGTAACTTATTTTAGGAAGATTATTAGTTTATACTCAATGAAAAAATAAAAACAAATAGTTTTTTATTTTTTATAGGTTGCCGAATATTTTAAATGTTGTTGTTATTTTCCAACAATCTTTTGTTACATTATGTCAGTTTTTCTATAAATTCATTATAGGCTGACCTTTTAGTTTCTTTAATTGTTTTGTAATAGCTGCTTTTAAAAGGTTATAGGCAGTTTTATAAACCGGACTAAGAGTTTCTGTGCAATTATTTTTAGCAAAGAAAGAATGTCTCTCACTTGATTCAGACTAATATTGAATTGAGTGGTGGGCGATATGTCAAGATTAGCGGAATTTTTTCTCAAAAGAAATTGTTAAGTTTCTAGTAAATATTACATAATAAGCAAATTATGTCAATGTTCAAAAAAGACTTCAGTATTAACGTAGCTATAAACTCTATGTTCATGCCTGCATTGTCCTACTGATAATGCATTTTAAGGTTATTTGTATTAATTTAATAATTGTATTAATTATGAAAATTGTTTCTCTAAAATTTTATTTTTTATGATAACCCTTAAATGTTAAAATAGAAATTTTAATTCTTTCAATCGTGTATAAACAATTCTTAAAAATATGTTACTAAAACACAAACAACACCGAATATACTTTTGTTATGACGTTTTTAACTTTCTGAGAAAATAGATAAATAAACTTTAATCGTTGTTCTGCCATCATTAAATCACAGACAGTAACTTGATAAATTTTCAGCAACGTCCTATTCTAAGACAAAAAGTAAAATACTTAATCTTTAAAAATATGAAGACACTGTTATAATATGAATAATTAAACGTGCCACAAAGTAAATATCAGTCAGATTTATTTAAAAAAACTTTTAGATGACGTCATGAATTTTTTGGAAGGAATAAGCAGATGAATTCTGATTAGCGTTAACATGTTGGCGATAATCGTAAAGGGAATGCAAATGTTCTGAGTAATCGCTTTTATAGTTTCTAAGTTAAATGGTAAAACTTTGTTGAAAAATTTTAAATTATTTCCAAACATTTATCTAATAAATCACAGGTGTAGAAGCAGCATTTTACACATTTTAGAGAAGAATTCATTTACAAAATTTTGAGATATTTCTTAAGGATAGGTAACAATAATTGTTCGCGTTTTACCATTTGCACCAGATTCCTTAAGTACCTAAGGAATCTGGTGCAAATGGTAAAACGCGAGTACTTTTAAAATTTAACAACAGTCAGTCGCGTAATTTCGGCACCAGGGTCTAATAAAATTGCCAAAAACGACATTTTTTTATTGTACTCATATTATATCATTTACAACATTTATTATGCTCCAAGCACTAAGGCACTAGTACTTAGTAGTGTAAAGTTTAATAGCATCAGCACATCATATACATAGATCCCATTAAAATTGGTGGCTAGTTAGAGCGTGAAATATTGACTATATTTTTGATATACTTAAAATAAGTTAATGTAATATCATGTTTTCAAGAACTCGCTAATTTCCTTGTTGGAAATACATACAATACATACAATACACAATACGTTAAGATCACAGGATAGATAATAATACGTACACAACAAGCAACAACCAAAACTGACCAGTAATATTCTCGATCGCGTTAAGATCACGTAATGATGTTGCTGAAGGTGATAAATTTACAATTAATTCAAATTATTCTATCGTTTCTCATTTCAATCACCACACAAGCACAGAACAGAAATCAAATATTGGTGGTCAGTCTCGTCACCTTTACGTATTATAATCTATAAACACAAAAATCATCTAGTTTGTGCCACTCATTTTTTAACTTACTGATGTCTTTAAGAATCCTTTGCATTTACTGTGATCTCACAGACAACGGGAAACTTGTTAACCGGCGAATGATCAAGTATCTTCAAATTTTCAACTATACTCTTTAGGCCATATTGGGTATTACATTGTGTCTACTACAATGGGTCGAATGCACATAAACTCCAGTGAATGTTTTTATCAAATTTCCTTCTCATGCTCTCCGATAAAATGTATACATTTCAGTATTTTTCTAATATAAGTAAAAGCATTTGCTTATCGTTTATTCATATAGCCGATCATGGTTTTCTCCTAATATTGATTTTCTTTTTCAGATGTGTATAACTCCTCCAGAGGCAACATCCTCGTCGGAATGCCAACAATAGCAATAGTCTGTACTGTAATGTCTTGGCTTTTACTGAGATGATTCCTAGGAGTAGAAACTGATATTCCAAGAAAATAACTTCCACGAATTTTATGTGATAAATAATTAATATAATGATATTATAAATGTGTTTGTAAATAACAGCAATTATATTGTATAAATGTTAATGTTTTCAGACAAAGCTATTAACGCGGGAGGTTGTTAAGTTTTCTCCACTATATTCAGTCATAGTTATTCGAAATATAACCAATTTATTAACTCTTAACTTGTTCGCAGTTTAACAAAATTTGCTAAACTTACATGGAATATACTTCATCTTACAAACAATATAACAAATTAATTTACAAATAAATGATTTGACAAAGATGGTTTACAAAATATTTCAAAAGACAATACAGCGTGCGTATATTTGTTTTTTATCTTTTTTTTTGTGTAATTAACTTTACACTTACTATTGGTTTAAAAAACGGGGCAAATGACAGTTACATGAACGTCTTATTCCAGTTACTTTTCATTGAGCTATGAGAACCTGATTTGCTCATCTTGCCCTTTTTTTTGAAAGCAATTGTAAATCAAGCGGCGAAAAAATGTTAGCAAAAATTTTGAAAAGGAGTACCAAACCTGGAATGTTTTTGATGAGCATTCAGCTTCATTCTGTTGATAGCGGTTGTCTATATGTATATAATGTATGTACAGTAGGACTTCGATTATTAAGAGTGATATTTCTGATTAATTTTGTCAGATGTACACATTTGTAAAACTTACACATCTTTGTTATATTTGTGGAGCACACATCTACAAAAAAGGTCAACTTTTTAGTCTTTTTTCAGCTCAACAATATCCAGGATGAGTCCCTAAGCGTGCGTTCCTCGATATCTGATTAATTATTAGAAATAAAAGAAAAAGTCAAAAACCAAAATTGTACGGTTCTTTCAAAAGTACACTATAAAATTATTTTTGACTATACAGAATGTTCTGCTTTTAAGGCATAACATTCTGTATAGTCATAACATAGTTTTTTAATGAAACACCCTATAAATTTTTAGATATTTTGATTAACCTCTTCTTAAACTTTAGAACCACTGTTTATTTTTGAAATTTTGATGGGGCGTTGCCGCGTTATTCAACCTTTCTTTTTTTTTAGCAATGGAAAGGTTCGCAAAAAAATCACAGTAAGGTTATTTTTAAAATCTTTATATAATATTTTGTGCAAAGATAAGTATCTAATAGAACACCCTATGTTTTATTACTGTGCCTTATTGTATTTTTTGTTCTCTTTCTTTTATGTTAAGTATTGTCTAGATTTAAAGTTACTGCAGTTTTTTACTTTTTTAAGAAACACATCGACATATTAGAAGAATGAAAACAATAAATTAAGTAAGATATAGGAATAAACTACAGGTTCTATTTGAAAAAAATGAAATATCGATACTTGAAAATCTTATTATAAACACTCTGTTAGAATTTCTGCCGCAAAATATCGCAACACAGATTTTAAAAATAATGTGTGAATACTTCCATTGGCAAAAAATTTAAAAAAATAGAAATGATGTGGTAACATCGCACAGAATTTTAAAATAAACTTTAGTTATGAAACCTAAGAAGCCAATGAGAATATGTAAATATATATATGGTGTTTCCTTGAAAAAACTCATTTTTGTGTTAGAGGTTAAAAACAGAACACTCTGTATAGTAAAAATACTTTTAGAGTATAGTACTCAAAGAATCGTACAGCTTGGTCTTTGATTTTTTTCTATATCTAATAATAATTATAGTGAAATATCGAGGACCCTAGTGACTCACCCTGTATACTTTCCTCAAAGGACCTTTTTTCGTAGATTAATTTATGGTTTTTACTTTTTAGAGTAATAATTAATGTTTAAAAGTGTACGATGCGGAAGGAAATCAGAAAAAATGAATTTGGGTAATATCATATCTAGAACAAATCATGCTTGTGGAGTATTCTGTTGTGGATGTAAATGAGCTAAAGAATAAACGTATCATTAAAGAAGAAGGTTTGCTTGGTGCACAGGTGTACAAATTGAACGGTTTATAAGCGTTTTTCATCGATTAATATGAATCCAGCGAAATAACAATCCACGATACCAGCCACATAGAACGTCCATTTTCAGATTTACGAGGTAAACTATTAGTAAAAATAAAAATGAATAGTAATATATTTCATATACGTATACATTCTTTTGACACAAAAATTTTAATGTTTCTATTTACAGTTTGACGAAATTAAATTTTTAAAGAAAAAGTAAAATAATCGGACTAAATAAAATTGTGTTCTTGAATAAAAGCATAGTGCTTATTAAAAGTTATAATTTTCTAACTTTTATGCCAATTATGAATATGTAGCAAATAGAAAACACAAAATAAAATTTGGTCCAAAACAACATTGACTAGTAAAAAAATTGACAACGAATGAAAAAGTGTAGAGGCAAAGTGTAACTACTTACATGCATCAATTTCTTTACTTCCCTTACCTTTTATACTTTTATCTTCAGGCGCTATATATGCAGAAACATTTTCTTTATCTATTTTCATATCATGCGAAAATTAAAAAAAAAAACATTTGTATAAAAATAGTACTTAAAGATGTAGGTGTAAATTGTAAGTAAGTAATGAATAACTAAGAAATCCTTTGTAACTTACTTTCAAAATTTCCACTTTTTTCTGACTTTTTTATTAACAATAAAACAAGACAGACATTATAAATCATTCTCACGATGTATTATTTTTACCACATGTACATTTCACACCAGTGACGACGAAACTTTACTCGCTGCATCATAAGTAAAGGGGCCGTTTTAATTCATAAGCGTACCAAACACCAATCAAGGTCGCACATTTACTTATACGATAAGTGGTCGCTCGAGATTTTCGACATGTGCAATGGGTACCTGATGCCCATGTATTTATTTATTGCACCTAAAAAACAATCTATAACAACTGGACACAATGCAATACAGTTGACCAACTAATTGATCGGTACCGCACCGCGTTACTCATGTGCACGTATGTGCTGATCCGCATAGTTCTTAAACTCACGATGCCTTTCTTAGGATCTTTAAGCTATCACTGACATAACGTAGCATTAATTTAATTATGTTATAGAGGTGTGTCTAAACATAAAACATTTGGAATTACATTAAAAATTAAAAAATCTAATTTATATTTTAGTTTATTTTTACATTGAATGCTATCTTTCTGTAAGAAATTCATTCAGATGTAAGCACCAGTACGCCAAATACACAAAACGGGTAAGATTGTGTTAGAGAAAACATTCTTTCCACAATATTTAAATGGATTTAAAGTCGAATACTCTTTTCTTAAGACTGAAATATTTTAGAAGTGTCATGGAATGAGGAAAAGGTTTTGGCAGCATAATCATTTTAATCGGATGTGGGTAACTATATCTTTATACAAAAAATTTGATATAAAAAATATTAAAAATAGATGTTAAACATAGTCGATATCCTTCTGTATTCGCACTGTTTAAATAACGCGTTTGCTTCTTTCAAGAATAAAATTTGTTCGCTTATTTTTTGTTACATATTTTTCTAGTTAATGCCGTTCCCCAACAAGCGAACAAAATTTATCGGCTCGATGTTTTTAATTTTACGTACTTATAATCTGATACTTGATACTTTGTAAGATATGTATATTTTTGTACAGCAAAGTTTTCATATTAACTCTTTGTAAAATTCGAAGAATTTATTTGTGATGTATATAGTAACACAAAAATGGTGCATAAATGCTGCAATTGGCGTACATACTTCGAATTTTATTACAAGTTCCGGTGAAACCGTTCTCTCCAACTTCGTTTTGAATATTAAATGAAACAAATGTATCTAAATTCAAATGAAATAATAATGCTATATTCTATTACAGGTTACAAAAAGCTGCAAATTGTTTAATGAATGTATTTGTCTATTACAAAACAGGAGACAAAAAATAAACTGTATTTTGTACCTGACATTTTAATTAGTATCTACCTCCTTCCTAATTGAAACAAACACGCCGAACTAAAGTTACCGACGACGTACGTGGAAAGTTTAGAACAAGAAAGATTTTTTATTACCGCGTAAGTTATAAAAGCACAGTCTAATAAAAATAAATCTTTACTTAGCTTGATGAAGCGGCGATTTTGCGGATCATAAATTCATAAATAGCAAAAATGTCAAGGCCGTACGCGACTTGGGCATGCCATTATTTACATCAGGCTTCATATATCTTCACTTTGTTATTCGTCTTCAACAAGGCAAACGATAAATGAAAATTCCCCGGATCACCACGGACAGGAAGACGATTGTAACGATACTACCTTTCCTGATTTTTATTGAAAAGCATGATTGATCACCCGATTTTTTTTCCTGTATACGGACAGATTTATCACTGACGAATAAAATCAGCAGTTATAAAGATATTCATCATTTTTATATCTTTTCAATAACGTGAAAAATTGCCAATCGAACAACTTTATACCTTTTACTGGTAGGTAGTAACTTGCAAACCACACAAAAACAATGTTACGGAATGAAAAATATTGAAAAAAATCTACATTATTTTACGTCAAAGAACAAATGGTGATTGATCTTCAGTGTTCCCAATACATGCTAGTATATTGTGTATTGCATCTTTGCATCATCGGATTGGAAACACTAGGTTTCTCTTCTATAATGTTTGCGACATCTATTTGCGACTAGCGCAACCAGTTCCATTGAAACAAAACTTTTGTTGGTTTTCTGGAAAGAAGAAAATGTAGTAAACTTTAAAAAAAAAATTTAAAGCCTTAAGTTGTTAATATATATATAATTTCCAATACGTTTAAAAATACGATTCGCAATGATGCTCGTTTAAACTGTTATTACTTAGTTATAACAAAAATACGGGGTCACTGCTAGGATGTATGGTCTAGAACTAACCTGTTTTATAATATCTTTTTTACTTGTAATTTGGATTTTATAGCTTTATCTGAAACCTGGTTGATAAAAAATCAGTCGAACAGTGAAATTTTTCCACACGATTACGTACCATTGGAAAGGATAGAATTATAATTTTCTAGGTTTCTCTAGGAGTTTGGGTGTTTTATTCGCTCCAGAAACTCTTATGTTCTTATGACAAGTGAATCTATCGTCCATCTTTAATACGTTACCTACCATTGATTACCATCGTTTGTGTACAAATTTCTAATAGAAAAATAGAAAAACTGCATAGTCCCACACTCACAACATTTGATAAATATGAACCTTTCATTCATCTGCCAAGCACTATTGAAGTAATTTATTTTAGCAAAGCAGTTATTCTGGCTGATTTTAATCTTCCCCATTTTTATTCAGATCCACTTGAAAAATCTGCAACTCTTTAAATAAGTTTGCACTTTTTTTTAACTTTTCTCAATGCAATAATATTTATTATCCCAGTAAACACAGTTGTGATGTTGACGTGACAGGTACGTACTCACAAAAGAACAATAAGTACATCGCATGATTATGTCTTAACGATATACCTGGAACGTAAGCTATATAACATCACAATGGAGTACTCATGCTATGTAACAAACACGTAATGTTGACTACATTTACTAGATATCTCATTATTATGTCGCAGCGATATAGCTTGCATATAAGCATTTAAAAATCACACTGTGGTACTCTTGTTATGTAACTAACACCTAATGTTAACTGCATTTACTAGATATCTCATTATTGTGTAGCAGCGATATAGTTGGCAGGTAAGCCTTGTAACATCACAATGGAGTATGTAACCAATAAGTAATGTTAACTGTCGTTACTAGATATCTGATTAATATATACATATACATTCTTCGGAATGTTTTATTTTTATTAGTTAATTATGCAAAGTGTTTTTCAGTTGATTTTACAAAATGGCATGTTAAATCGAAAATTAACGTTTCTGACAGGGCAACAGCAAAAAATATTTAAAAACATACATATCGAGTATTATATAGCTCTATTTTATACTTATTATTTATGTTTGTGTTGCAAGTAAATAGCATATTCATAAACAAAAGATGCTGAGTCTTAAAAAAAGAAATTTCTTCCCTGTCTTAAATCTTGCACAAGCGAGATGACGCCAATAGTGAGTTGCTCTTAATTTTTTTTTTCATATTATATTTCCTGTAATTATATTTATTTATAATTTTATTTTTATATGTCCATAACAACCTGCGCTTTATAAAACAGAACAAGAGAGTTAATGCACATAGTTTATGATCAGAATTAAAAAATGTCCCATCTAACAGGTAATACGAATTAAGACTAGTAATGAGACATTATTTTTTAACCTCTGCCTATACGTCACTGCCAAAAAGGAACAATTATACATATACAGAATTTTGAAATGAGCTCGAAAAATAAAATGATATATTTCCTTATTTTATTAATTCTAATGCAAAATATGTTGATCGGCAACAAAAGAAACAAAAAGAAAAAAATCGAAATTAAAAAACTAATCTATTTCAAGGTCAGCGATATCGTTCTTAAATAAAAATGAATTAAACAATTTCTTCACTTTGATCGTAAGGAAAACAAACAATAATTTGAATACGAAACAATAATTGATCATCGAGTTTTGTGTATTGACTTTCGCACTCAGTTATAGGTATATCTGTTTAACATTAAATTTTCAAAAGTTTAGATTTTTCCAATGTAATCTTGGGCTCTAAAATAAACTGGTAATGTATAATGTATAATTATAATTGAGTATTTTCGTGGTTGATCTTTAAATTATTATTTATTCAAAAAATTCACTTAATTTCATATCCAATATGTAACTAACTGAAAACTGATAATAAAGCAGCAGATATGACGAAATAGTGTAGACTTTTTTTAATGTCGGTAATATAGTGTATGTATAATAAGAAGAGAGCGGAAAATATGCAGCAAAATTTTGGGAAATATGATCATATGACATGCATCAAATTTATGCAAATATGCAATAACTTTCTTAATATATGCAGAGATATGCAGTTGCATATGCTCCAAAAATAAAAAAAAGCGTAATAACCCAACAAAATTTATTTACAAATTGCAAAAACACCTTACCTTTTATTACAAAAAATACATAAATCACATTGCAAAGTGTTTAATTAGATCTCACTGACAAATAAATGACATTTTTTAAGATAATATTCTTATACTCAAAAATAAATATAGGTAAACAGAGCGAATTAAAAAATAGTAATCGACTATTTAATTACTATTTTGGTAACAATTTATTTTTAAATATTTTTCGAAATATTCTAACAAAAATTTTTCCGGTGATTCTAAAGTATGTATTTGTAAATAGAAAAACTGCGTACTGCGTCCACAGATGTAAAAATACTTATCGGATTAGAGCAAGCACAACAAAACACAGTTCCTTCTTGAAGAATAAGTTCAGGAAAAGGTTTAATGCATAAATTAATTTGAGTTATCTACATATTGACACACATCTCTATCGCTTTAAACACTTAAATGCAAACTCACGATGAAAAATAATAGGATAACGTCCCTTCGACCACCATAAAACATACCATTAATACACTTAAGTAACGAACAAAAATATTGAAATGAACGGTATTTCCAAAAGTAATTAGGACCCGAATTTACCTGGAAGGATGGCTTAACACCCAGTGGTTCCTCCAAACTACCATAAAACTCAAACCTTTCCCAGTTATTTGCAATATGATTCATGAAATTTCGTTTTTCTAGAAAAATGCCGATCGAATGGCATTTTTTTTCAAAGTAGCACAAAAATTGATAAAAATGCAAAATATGGACCCGTTACGTGAAATATGCAGCAGAAGGCAAATATATGCAAATATGCAATTTTTTTTATAGCTGTATTCATTTTTAATTAGCATGATTCGTTCACATATTAAATATCAAGACTTATATGCAAAAAATAACGGATATACAAATTTCATAAAATCCGCTCTCTAATAATAACCAATTCATGGGGTATGTTTCTGTTGTTGTCATCGTTTGACACCACTGTATTTACAGTATTTAAGCAGGTATACGTTTCCGCCCCTAAAATCCCACGAACGGCATCCTTTGCCCACGTAAATACAGTAGGTACCTGGAATGAAAACAGAAACAGAAATAGTTTTACAACACCTTATCAAAATTTAAAAAAACCACTATGGTATTATTTGAAATTTATTGTTAAAGATTATATGGTCAATTAGATGTGGGTCGTCGTATTCTTTAAAAAGTGACCTTCTGTTCGGGTTTCGGTTTTACCTACCAACCGCAACCCTTGTCAACAAGCGTCCCCAACTTTCTCTTCTACCTGCAATGTATCGCTTCCGATTTTAACAACTTGGTACATAGACTTCGAACCGTCAACAACAAGTAAATACAGTGTTACACAGCACATGTTTGTGTTTCATTTTATATCAATCTTTTTCGGTACGTATGTATGAATAACAATCATACATCCAACATTGGTCCTTCGAGCCGGATCTCTCCACATGTGTGATCCAGTGCTGTGAATTCAACAATAAAACGCGGTGGTGCCATTTTTCGACGCCTGTATCGGGAGACGTGATCTACCGGCCATCGGAGTTCCCTACCGGACAGGAGAGCAGCGAATCCAGCCCATCCAGTCGTTTCATCCAAGGTTCCAAGTGACCTTATCACGTTTTTGGTAATTTTCGACGCCTGTATCGGGAGACGTGACCTACCGGCCATTGGAGTTCCCTACCGAGCAGGAGAGAAGCGAATTCAGCCCATCCAGTCAATTCACCCAGGCTCCAGGTGATCTTATTACGGTTTTGGCAATTTTCGACGCCTGCATCGGGAGACGGGATCCAGCCATTGGAAATTCTCAACCGGACAGGAGAGCAGCGAATCAGTCTAGCCGTCCCAGGTGCCAGAGGGCCTTATTGCGGTGAGTGGGTTCCAACTATTCCTTTTCTTTATCTATTTCCGGT